GCTGTTCCGAGAGACCCCAGTACAGCGTCTCGTGGCAGCCCTTCTAGCTCGCCTCTGTCGGCCCCAAGTCTTGCCGAGCCTCAACCTGGACTGCCCGCTTCCTGGTCTGACGTCTTTCCCCGACCTCTATGCCAGCTTCCTGGACCATTTTGAATCCGTGTCTTTTGGGGACCACCTGTTTGGAGCTCTGGTCCTCCTTCCTCTGCAGCGCCGGTTCAGTGTCACCTTGCGCCTCTCCCTCTTTGGGGATCACGTGGGAGCCTTGAGAGCTCTGGGCATGCCCCTGACCCAGGTAACTCAGCCCAGCTGGGCCTGCAGGAGCAACCTCACTGGGCTCCAGGGCGTACTTCTGAGCAGTGGAGAGCTTTGCTAGCCCTCATCTCAACTTGCAGGAGTTTTGGTGGAGCATAGTGGCCACAATTTCCAGATGAGAAATTTGCTAACATTTCTTAAACATCAGATATAGTGGCTCAAGCCTGTAATCCTAGCCACTTGGGAAGCAGAGATTGGATAATCACTGTTCAAGACCAGCCTGAGCATAAGTGCTCAAGACTCAATCTCACACCTATTATTGTAGCTACAAGGGAAGCACAATGGCAGGGCCCAGCGGCACACTCTGTCATCCCCAGGGAAGAGCGGGAAGCACAAATAGGAAGAGCACTGTCCAGGCTGGCCTGGGCATAAAGCAAGACCTTTGTCTTGAAATTAAACATAAGAAAGGCTGATGGGGCTGGGAAGGTGGCTCAGTGGTAGAGCGCTTCCCTGGCATGCATGAGGCCTTGGGTTCAATTCCTCAGCACCGCATAAACAGAAAAGGCTGGAAGTGGTGCTGTGGCTCAAGTGGTAGAACGCTTGCCTAACGTGAGGTCTTGAGTTCAATTTTATCATTTTTTAGTTCCTTTATATGTAGATATTTTTATAAAATAGATATGGCATAGTGAGGGGTTTTTTTTCCATGTAACATTATATAATAACCATCTCATCTCGTTAATAGTCTAAGAAATCAACATTTGATTTTTCTTTGTGGTGCTGGAGATCTAACCCACGGCCTGTGCCTGCGAGGCAAGAGCTCTAGCGCTGAGCTGCATCCCTCTGTTCTGTGATCTTTAACACTCAGGTGCAAGAGAAGGATGGCTGTCTAGCCAGGACCTGGCTTCTAGTTTCATGTGGCCAACACCATCCACCTATCTGCCAGTGCCCACTCCTGCCCCCCTCACTGGATCTCATTTCCCTCACCACAGTTGCCTGTGCCCCTGGAGTGCTACACAGCACCTCCCGAAGACAACCTGGCCCTCCTTCAGCTCTACTTCCGGGCCCTGGTCACTGGTGCCCTCCGATCACATTGGTGCCCCGTGCTCTACACCGTGGCTGTGGCTCATGTCAATAATTTCATGTTCTCTCAGGACCCAAAGAGTTCAGTAAGTCACATCTCTGTCTTCAGAGCAGGGAAGGATCTAGTGACTGAGCAGCCTCTGGGCTGGTTTGAAAGGAGGGAGGGCCATGCAAAACTGGGGGAGGGGAGGTACCAGCCCTCTGCTTGGTGCTACCTCCCCCTGTTCTTCTAGGATGAGGTGAAGGGTGCTCAGAAGAATATGCTGCAGAAAACTTCTCTGCTGGCAGATGAGGTAAGTTTGGGACCACTAGGAGAAGAGATAAGAGTGTTTGGGGGACAGATGTCAACCGGCTCTCACTACCCACTCAGAGTTTGCTCCCTGTCTGCAGGCTCTCCGGCAGCACCTCCTCCACTATAAGCTCCCCAGTCCCAGCCTCCCGCAGGGCTTTGAGCTGTATTCACAGCTGCCCCCTCTGAGGCAGCAGCACCTCGAGAGACTGACCTCAGGGCTTCTCCAGAGTAGAGTACCAGAGACCTAGCACAGTTGCTGCAGGTGGAAAGGTATGCATCTTTCTGAAGCTCCGCACTGGACACTTGGACAGAGAGAAGAGCATCGAGTCCTAGAGAAGGCAGGATAAAAGAGCGCACAGCTTGCCTGCCTTCCCTAGAGCACCTTGCTGGACATTCTGTGGAACAGAATGAGCCTTACTGTTCTCCTGATCTGGAACTCGGCTTCTGGGGCCTCGGGTCTGTGCTGGGAGTGAGAGGTGACTTAGCTAGGTACCCCCTCTTTGGGGACAAGAAAATCTAAGCACCTCCAACCTCCCACTGAAGGCCAGAATATATAAATGCTATGCTGCATACTGAAATAAATTCTTTTTCAGTCTGGTGGCTGATCTGGACTGATTGTTGTCATATTCATTCTGAGTTAGAACCAAGAGGTATCTGGAGGAGAGAGATCTGGGGAGATCATGATGGGAAGGAGTAAACAGTTCACATGTGGAGATGGTGAAAATGTGGGCCACAGCCCCTGAGTGGCAGGAACAGTGCTCCTGGGGAAGCAGACTACTTCTGGAAGAACTGGCTATCTACAAGAGCCTAGCACCTAGTCTCCTCATGCTTGCCATTTTCAATCTGACATGAAGCAAAGCCTCAGCTTGGGGCAGTAGCTGTCCCATGTTGGATAGTGAGACCCAGCCTCTGTTCCAGCTCCCTGGCTACCCTTGTGATGGCCATCACAAAACTGCTCACTATGGGCTGGGAATGTGGCTTAGTGTAGAGTGCTTGCCTAGCATGCATGAAGCCCTGGGTTCGATTCCTCAGTACCACATACACAGAAAAAGCCAAAAGTGGTGCTGTGGCTCAAGTGGTAGAGCACTAGCCTTGAGCAAAAAGCTCAGGTAGAGCGCCTAGGCCGAGTTCAAGCCCCAAGATTGGCAAACACATGCACACACACACACATGCTCACTAGAAACACAAGCAATTGGAGAAGTTGGGGTGCTGGTCACATGACCCAAAGTGTTGTTAACTTCGTAGGGAAAACCTAATAGTGCTGTGGAGTTGTTTTCTTAAGCATCACTTCAGGAGCTGCTACCCAGGGAGATCCTAATATATAGAGCCACTCTGCCTGGAATTGACAAAAATGAGAGAAAAATACTAAGCTACTATAGAAGGAAATAAAAAGCTGAAGCAAACCTTACTCAGTATGACACACCTCAGAAACATAAGTAGGATTCTTCTCAGTTGATCAGACCCTGAAAAATGATTTTATATAACTTGAATAATTTGTATGGTATGCATTCTTTTCTGAACAGATGCTTTAAAGCTCGTTTAATATGTGAAAATCACATCACAATTTAGCTGTTTAAATAGACTCTCTGATGAAAATGCAGTGTTAAGCCAGGCACTGATGGCTCACACCTGTAATTCTAGCTACTCAGGAGGCTGAGATCTGAGGGTTGCAGTTCAAAGCCAGCCCAGGCAGAAAAATCCCCATGAGACTCATCTCCAATTTTCTAACCACTCCAAAAAGCAAAACTGGAGCTATGGCTTAAAATGATAGTGCTGCCGGGCGCTGGTGGCTCACGCCTGTAATCCTAGCTACTCAGGAGGCTGAGATCTGAGAATCGCGGTTCAAAGCCAGCCCGGGCAGGAGAGACCTCGAGACTCCTATCTCCAATAAACCACCAGAAAACCGGAAGTGGCGCTGTAGCTGAAGTGGTAGAGCGCTCGCCTTGAGCTGAGGGACAGCGCCCAGGCCCAGAGTTCAAGCCCACGACCGACAAAAAAAAAAAAAAGATATAGTGCTAGCTTTGAGCAAAAGAGCTCAGGGACAGCACCCAGACCCTAAGTTCAAGCCCCACAACTGACAAATAAGTGCAGTGTTAACTTGCTTTGGATCTTAAAAGATTCCTAAGTATTTGCTGAAGGAAAGCTAAGTGGCATCCAATTCATTATCTTAGGAGACATTCCATGTAGTAGTACTCTGGTTAGGAAAGATGGCACAGGATGTATTTAGCTAGGGAATTTTAGCGTGGAGCTGTTCCCTTGGTTTGGTTCAGGATATGAACATAAGAGCAATCACTCTTCACAATGAAGATGAAGCTATTTCTGTTTCCTGTGGACAGCTAGAGAAATCTGTTATAGATGCTCTTGCCTGGGTTCCTATGGGTCTTCTGCTCTTGTTTATACAATGCAGAACAAACAACTCTTCTGTGCCCTACAAAACTCCATGTGTGTCAGTTTGAACTCTGACCCCACATTTTCCCTCTATGCAATCATGTCCTATCCCATAATGCTTTGTTGGGGGCTTGATACTTCAATCACCATGATTGTAATTTTACATAGCTTTAAACAGAACCACACTGTTAGGCTGCCTTACTTAACTGCTTAGTTCCATACAAAATAGAGATAAAATGAAATATTTCCCCCCAAAAAACCAACTATGTGGCTACACATAAGTATTACTCAGACTTTACCAAGTAGCTTAAATATTAAAGCATTCCTGTCGAACACTTGAAGGCCTCTGCCCTCAGAGTTACCATTTTAAGCTAGAGATTGAAGACCCAATACATAAAGCCCACTTGAAGGCCAGGCCTGAGCAGGGCTGCGCTCCATGGCTCCCTCGGGGGTGTGGGTGTCTGTGGTGATCTACACATCTTCATGATGCACAGGTGGTGGGAGACGCTGTCTTCGCGGTTACTCGGTCCCTACTTTGCCTAGTGCTGAGCAGATCCCCTCGCAGGCACCTGGACCCTGCAAGTGCCCCAGCCTAGCAGTTCAAAGAGCTCTTGTCCTGTGTGGCCACACACCGGCCCCAAGGAAGCACACGCTTCCTTCGGTGTCCCGAGAGACCTTGAAGCCCATGCCAAGGGCCTGGGGTGTGGTTGGGCGCCATCCTGGAGCTGCCTCAAAAGGATAGGGCCAGGGCAGCCTCGGTCCCTCCCCGGCCGCCTGGGCGGCCAGCAGCTGACCTCCTGGTGGCTGGGGATGGGATTCCCGGGGTGGGGGCTCCACGGCTCCTCCCGGAAGCGCGGGGACCTGCTGCCCACACGCCCCGCCTTTTCCTCCTGGGCGATGAGGGGTCTGCGGTAGGCGAGGCCAGACGGGCTGCGGGTGGCCAGGCGGCGGCGGCGGCTGCGCGCGTCCGGGGCCGTCGGATCCGGGGATGAGCCGCTCGGCCCGGCTGCTGCTCTGGCTCGGAGCTGCGGGTACGTGTGTCCCCCCCCCCTCACCCCCAGGCCCGGGCCCGCGGTCCCCATGGATCCTCCCGAGGAGGTCTCGAACCTTCGGGGCTTTGCGAGAAGCCGGGGAAGGAGGGACGGCCCTGGGAGGGGGGCTGCGGAGCCTCGGGGGTCCCGTGCGGGTGTTCGGTGGGAGGGGCGGGCGTGGCCGCGGCGCCTTCGTCCCCCGGCCCACCTTTCCGTCCCCGGCCTTCCACCTTCCAGGCGCCATCCTCGGCTCCCGCCCCCCGGGCTCCCGGGCGCCTTCTCTGCCCCTTCCCGCCAGCTCCCCGGACCCGACGGTCACCGCCGCCCCTGGCGTGGAGTCCGCGCCTCCCCCGGAGCCTCCCGGTGAGCCTCCCAGCGGCTCCCCGGGGAGAGACCCCCGCTCCGCGGCCCTGGCGCGGCCTCCATGGCGCTCCCTGCCCCCTTCCCGCCTCGCAGGCGCCGAGGGGCCTTGGCTGTTCAGCTCGTGCGGGGCCAGCGGCCGGCGGGGGCCCACGCAGCGGCAGTGCGACGGGGCGTACGCGGGGAGCGGCGTGGCGGTGACCGTGGGGGCCGCGGGGCCGCTGCGGGGCGTGCAGCGGTGGCGGGCGCCCAGCCCCGGCCAGTACCTGTGAGTGCCCGGCGGGGCAGGGCTGAGGCCCCCGGCGGGGCAGGGGTGAGGCCCCCCGGGCTGAGGCTCCACACGGGGAGGGGGGGGACTCACGGGCCCGCCACCGGGCGCCCCAGTCGGCGCCGCGGGGAGGGAAGGGGGCGATCGGCTCCGTGGCCCCCGTTGGCCCAGACTTCTGGGTTACCGTGGGGAGGAGCAGCTGGAGCTTCCCGCCATCTCCCCGAACTTTCCAGAAACAGGTATGACACGGGGGGGCGTGCCGGGGATGTAGCTCAGAGAAAGAGCGCTCGGCTAGCGAGTGCGCAGCGGCCTCCCCAGGAAAGGCTTTGGGGTGAGCAACCCGAGTCTCCCTAACCCTGCGCCGGCGGTCGCGGCCTCCAGACGTGTCAGATGAGAAGTTTCGGAGCCGCCCTGTCACCCCCACTCCCACCTGCGCCCCCCACTCGCCCCCTCAGCGCCCCGCCACCCCGGACTCCTCCGCGCCCCGCCACCCCGGGCCCCTCCGCGCCCCGCCACCCCGGGCCCCTCCGCGCCCCGCCACCCCGGGCCCCTCCGCGCCCCGCCACCCCGGGCCCCTCCGCGCCCCGCCACCCCGGGCCCCTCCGCGCCCCGCCACCCCGGGCCCCTCCGCGCCCCGTCACCCCGGGCCCCTCCGCGCCCCGCCACCCCGGGCCCCTCCGCGCCCCGTCACCCCGGGCCCCTCAGCGTCCCCCTCCCGCAGGATCTCGGCTTACGGAGCGGCGGGCGGCAGGGGCGCCCGGAACCACCTGTCGCGGGCGCACGGCGTCTTCCTGTCGGCCGTGTTCTCCCTGGGGCGCGGGGAGCCGCTCTACATCCTCGTGGGGCAGCAGGGGGAGGACGCCTGTCCCGGAGTAAGCGGGCGCCGGCGGGGGGCGGGGGCCCCGGCCGCCCTCCGCGCCCACCGGCGCCCATGGTCCGCGGTGCCCGCAGGGCAGCCCCGGGAGCCAGCGCGTCTGCCTCGGGGAGTCGCACGTGGCGGCGGAGGGGACCGGAAGCGCCCCGGGTCGGCGTCGCGGGGCCGGAGGCGGCGGGGGCGGCGGGGGCGCCACCTTCGTCTTCCGGGTACGTGCGGCGCGCGGCCCGGGCTCGGCCGGACGGCGGGGTCCCCGTCCCCTCGCCGGGCCCCGGGGTCGGGCGGCGGGGTCCCCGTCCCCTCGCCGGGCCCCGGGGTCGGGCGGACGGCGGGGTCCCCGTCCCCTCGCCGGGCCCCGGGGTCGGGCGGACGGCGGGGTCCCCGTCCCCTCGCCGGGCCCCGGGGTCGGGCGGACGGCGGGGTCCCCGTCCCCTCGCCGGGCCCCGGGGTCGGGCGGCGGGGTCCCCGTCCCCTCGCCGGGCCCCGGGGTCGGGCGGCGGGGTCCCCGTCCCCTCGCCGGGCCCCGGGGTCGGGCGGCGGGGTCCCCGTCCCCTCGCCGGGCCCCGGGGTCGGGCGGACGGCGGGGTCCCCGTCCCCTCGCCGGGGTCGGGCCGGAGCGCGCGCCTGACTCCGCGGGGTCCCCAGCTGCGCGCCGGGGAGCCGGAGCCGCTGCTGGTGGCGGCGGGGGGCGGCGGCCGGGCCTACTCGAGGCCGCAGGACCGCGGCGGGGCCCGGGCTGCCCCCGAGAAACTGGAGAACCGCTGGGCGGCGCCCGGGAGCGGCGGTCGAGGCGGGGCCGCAGGTGAGGGCGGCGGGCCGGGGCCGGGGCCGGGGCCGGGCCGGGGCCGGGGCCGGGGCCGGGGGCGGCGGCCCCTCCGTCCCGGCCGCCAGCCATCCCGCTGTCGCTTTGCAGGTGGAGGGGGCGGCTGGGCGTCCCGCGCCCCCTCCCCCCAGGCCGGCCGCTCCCTGCGGGAGGGGGCGGAGGGCGGCCAGGGCTGCGCGGAGGCCCGGGCCGCCCTCGGCTGGGCGGCGGCCGGCGGCTTCGGGGGCGGCGGCGGGGCCTGCACGGCGGGCGGCGGCGGCGGCGGCTTCCGGGGTAGGTGCACGGTTGGGGAGGGTGACCGGATCGGTGGGACAGGGGGGAAATGCCCCGCGCGACACCGGCCTGGAGATCCAGCACCTGCCCCCCCCCCCCAGCTCAAGGCCCTGAGTTCAAGCCTCCCCAGGCAGAGCAATTGCACAATCACATGTGCAAACAGATGGACAGGCAGGCAGGCCTCCCGGCCTCCCCGGATTTGCACTGCAATTGGGACCGAGTCCAACACAAGTTCTCTGTGGAAGAACTCAGACCTGGCTAACAAAGATGAGCCGGGCGCAGAAAGCCGGGGGATGGTTTGTTGGGGATTTAAATGACCCCTCCCCCCCTCCCACCCAGTCCAGTAGTTTCAGCACAAATGCAGATTCTAGGGGTGAGGTGGGATTGGGAAGATGTTGGTCAAGGGATCTAAAATTTCAGTCGGGTGAGAAGTTGGAGGGTTCTGTTACACATCTTGGCGACTGCAGTCTTTAACGATGTATTTGTCAATATGACAAAATAGATTTTAGGTGTTCAGGCCACAAGAGGGATGCATATGCTGACTGGCTCAAACTAGTCACTGTGCAAGGTTTCAAAAACATCATGTTTCCAATACATAGATGCAACTTTTCATTCAATCACTGTCATTGCTTTAAAAAAATAGATCTTGTGGGGAGGATGGGAGGAAAAAACTAGGAAAGAGCAAAAGGAGTGACATTGGCCAAAAAGAAATGCACTCACCTGACTTATGTAACTGTAACCCCTTGTACACCAGATTTTGTGACTACAATAAAAATTTAACAAAATGCAAATTTCCAGACGTTTCCAATAGCCTGAATCAGAAACCCCGGGGGCAGGGTGCCAGTCAGCTGTTTTTTTGGCAGTACTGGTGTTTGAACTCAAAACTTCGCGCTTTCCAGGCAGTCATTCTACCAATCTCCAGCCCCTTTTGCTTTTAGGTTAGTTTTCAGATAGGATTGTTGGCCTCTAACTGTGATCCTCCTACCTATTATGTCTTCTGTGTAGCTGGAATTATACATGTGCACTACTATGTCTGGTCCTGGTCCTCTGGGTGATTCCAAGGTCCTCCAGAGTTTGGGGAACATCAGTGTAAGGCAGAAGAGCCTTTGCAGCGAGCTGGGCTATACTGCTCATAAATCTACGTTTCCACAGAAATAGAATAGAAATGGATTGTGTGGGTCAGGCTTCTCATTCGTAGCTGAGAACTTAGACCTGCAGGGACTCAGAGAGACAGCCTGAGCCAGGCCTTTCTTTGCCCATGAGTTGTCCCTTAGCTCCCACTTGTGCATGGACAGCCCCTGCATGGTAATGGTAGTCAATGGAGAGAGGACAGCGTAGGGATATTCCGTGGGAAATTCCAGCTTCCATACTTAGCATAAGCCAGCTTTCTAGCAGAAAGGCCGCCATGTGCCCCTTCTTCCCCTCTGACCCCTGACTCCTATTTTATAGTCAAGCTCTCCATCACTCCATTTCCAGGAGGTGACGCCTCAGAGACTGACATCCTCTGGGCTGATGGAGAAGATGGGGTTTCCTTCATACACCCCAGCAGTGAACTCTATCTGCAGCCTCTGGCAGGTATTGACCTCAGGGCGCACCCCCCCCCCCCCCCCACACACACACACCGCTCAGCCTGGCCCAGCCATTCCTCAGTCTCTGGACCTGCTCCCACAGGAGCCACCAGCTCCATCTACACTGTGAGTTATGTAGTTCTTACAGCTCAGGAACATTGGAGAAGTGTACAGTGCTTGTGTGTGTGTTGTGATGCCAGTATGGGGCAGTCTAGAGTGTTTACCAAGCATCCTTTGCTCTTGAAATACCTGTGGGCTCCAGGGTCCCAGATGGAGGGGACAGATATACAGGCTTGAAGTCCCCAGGCACTCGCGCCACCCTTGGCATTGCTCCTTGCTCTAAACTCCTGGGCTACCGTTAATCATGTTGCTAGAAAAGCCATCTGTGTCCCTGTCTCCCAATCCCACTTCCCATACGCCGCCCCACCACGTCAGTTCTTTGCTGTCAGTCACAGAGAACCACGGAGAGGTGGAGATCCGCAGGCACCCCAATTGCAGCCATTGCCCTTTGAAAGACTGCCTGTGGCGGGCAGAGCTCCTCCTGGCTGAGTGCATCTGCCCGGAGGGCATGGAGCTCTCTGCCGACAACATCACTTGCATGGGTAGGTCTTGCCTTTACTGTCGTCTGCACTGCTGGCTCCTAGTTAAGGAGGGACTATTGGGGGCCAGGAAAGATGGTAGAGAGGCCTGCTGTGTGCCAGGCACTGGGTTGGGTGCATGTGCGTGCTTTGCGATATAGAGTGTGTAGGCTGGTGTAGGAGGTGATATGGATATTCACATAGATAATAGATATATACCTAAAAATGGCAGTTGCTATGGGAGATGCCAGATATTCTAGGGATTCTCAGGAGACTGAGGTTGCTTTTGCTAGGACAGTTGGCATCATGGGTAAACACTGAAGTCTTGAAGCCTGGGTCAGATTTGAGAGTAGTCAAGCATGGTGATACATGCCTGCAATCTCAGCACTGGTGTATTAGCAGGGGAGGGGGACTGAGGCAAGAGGATACCTAGTACAAGGCTAACGGCTATATAGTGAGATTTTATCTCAGAGTTGAAGTGGAGCACCTGCTGGTGGCTCACACCTGTCATTCTAGCTACTCAGGAGGCTGAGATCTGAGGATTGAGGTTCAAAGCCAGCCTGAGCAGGAAAGTCCATGAGATTCATCTCAAATTAACCACCAGAAAACCAGAAGTGGTGCTGTGGCTCAAGTGGTAGAACACTAGCCATGGGCGGTAAAGCTAGGGGGCAGTGCCTCAGAACTGGCACAAAAACAACGAAGATAAAAGAACAGAAAATGCTTCCCACTGGAGATGTCTCTCTTTCTCCCTAGACCCTCCTGCTACAGCAGGCCCTCTGGTTCTGATGGTGGCTGTGGTGGCAACCCTAACACTGAGCCTGCTTACAGCATGTGGCATCCTGGTTCTGGGTACGGAGCATCTAGCAGGCCTGGCTGATTGGGGATGTCCTTTTCCACTGAGTGGTGATGTGCTGCTGTGGGGTCCCAAGCAGCAGATGTGACCAGAACCCCTACGTCTTCCAACCCCTCCAAAGCAGTGGGCGGAAGACTCCTCTCAGCTTCCAGGAGGAAAAGAGCGGGAGAGGCTGGGGAAGCATCTGGAAGGTGTCATGGGCAGGGACGCAGGGTGGGCCTGATGGGTGGTGGAGGCTATGTCTCTGTTTCTTCCCCATCAGTGAGCCAAAAGAAGTGGCAGGGCCTGTGGGGGACAAGGCTGCCGGGTCCTGAACTTGAGCTGAGCAAGCTTCGAACCTCTGCCATCAGGACATCCCCCAATCCCTATTACTGCCAAATGGGGCTGGGCTCGGCCCAGGCCTGGCCGCTGCCTCCGGGGCTCACCGAGGTTTCCCCAGCCAATGTCACCCTGCTCAGGTGAGCCAGCCTTCTCACAGCCTGTGCACTCAGAACCCTTCCCATCCTGCCCCCTGCATTATGGACCCCTGAGTTCATCCACCCAAAAACCTGGTGTAGAGATGGAGGCTCATACAAGCTCCAAAAGAGAAAGGAACTTGTTCCTTGTCCACCCCAGTGCTGGGTTAGAGGCCTGGAACGTGACTTCCGGAGTGCACAGGTTATCTTTTCCTCACCCCGGCCCCAGCACATCAGGGACTCCTACCTTGACTCTGCCCTTCCCTCCTGCCCCGGCTCTGTGAGCCAGCCTCACCTCTGAGGGGTTGTGTCTGAGATGTCCATGATGCAGAAAGCTCAGAGTCAGCTGACCACATCAGGGAGGGGAGGGACAAAGGAGATAAAGGGGGCATTGGACCCTTCTCTGTGCTCGCCACCCATGTCTTCCCAACCTGCCTTCCTCTAGAGCCCTGGGCCACGGTGCCTTTGGGGAGGTGTACGAGGGACTGGTAACCGGCCTTCCCGGGGACTCCAGCCCCCTGCAGGTGGCTATCAAGGTGAGATGGTGGGGGGCTGGAGGTGGGGTGTAGAGCAGGGCCCAGTGGGTGAGCAGTTGCTAGAGTTCCGGTTAACTTAACCATCCACATCTTCCTGAAGTATCCAGCCAAATGCAGTCCTTAGCAGTGCTCTTCTTCCCCAGACCCTGCCGGAGCTCTGCTCTCGCCAGGACGAACTGGACTTCCTCATGGAGGCGCTTATCATCAGGTGCACCCAGGGCTGGGCAGGGGTGAGGGGCTGGAGAGTCCAGGGCTGCCCACAGGGGTGAGGGGCTGCAGAGAGAGGGCCCAGGCTGCAAGCAGAGATGGCTCCTCCTTCCCCTGGGATGGAGAGGCAGGGAGGGGCTACGGCAGCAGGGGTTCTCTGCCATTTTGTGGAGCCTAGAATGAGTTTGCCCCCCCTGCACCTCCCTCTGGCGGTGGGGTTTGTGGACCACTCAACCCAGCAAGTTCAGTCACAAGAACATCGTGCGTTGTGTGGGGCTCAGCTTCCGGGCTGCCCCTCGCCTCATCCTGCTGGAACTGATGTCTGGAGGGGACATGAAGAGTTTCCTGAGGCAGAGCCGGCCACACCTGGTGAGACCCATATCCCCCACCCCAGCCTGTCCTGTGTCCCCACACCTGCCTGGACTAATGTGCCTCCTGCCTGAGCCAGGGCCAGCCATCCCCTCTGAACATGCAGGACCTGCTGCGCTTGGCCCAGGATATAGCCCAGGGCTGCCACTACCTGGAGGAGAATCACTTCATCCACAGGTGCGGAGCCATCCTGGTTTGGACGACCTCCCCCGCAACTTGTTTTCCAAGGAGCAGCTGTTGCACCCACATGGCTTGTTAAGGAGAGTTTCTGAATCCTATCCTTGACTTTTTGTCCCAATTCTTCAGGGACATTGCTGCCCGCAACTGCCTGCTGAGCTGCGCGGGGCCCAGCCGAGTGGCCAAGATTGGGGACTTCGGGATGGCAAGAGACATCTACCGGTGGGTGCGGGTGTGGGGGATGTGGGAAGGCGGCGGCTCTAGGGGGGTTGGCAGTATCAGGACTCATCACCTCTTTCCTCTCACAGGGCCAGCTACTATCGCAAGGGGGGCCGGGCCTTGCTGCCAGTCAAGTGGATGCCCCCGGAGGCCCTCCTGGAGGGCGTGTTCACATCCAAGACAGACTCCTGGTGACTGAATCCTCTCCCCTCCCTCGAAGCGAATCCTGGCCTTTCGGTCCACGGGCTCCTCATGATGAGCCTCACTTGTTTCCCACCATGATGCAGGTCCTTTGGGGTTCTGCTTTGGGAGATTTTCTCTCTGGGCTACATGCCCTACCCTGGGCGCACCAACCAGGAGGTGCTGGACTTTGTTGTCGCAGGGAGCCGGATGGACCCTCCGAGAGGCTGTCCAGGACCTGTGTGAGTTAGGAGTATGCCCAGGGAGGGGAGGGCGCCTCCAGGCCAGGGGTAGCACGCACTGCTTCCTCTCCCCAGGTACCGCGTTATGACCCAATGTTGGCAGCACCAGCCCGAGCTCCGCCCCAACTTTGCCAGTATCTCAGAGCGCCTGCAGTACTGCACGCAGGTGTGCCTCCATCTCCCCTGCTACCTGACCACCCTGCACAGCGGGTCAGGAAAAAACCCACAAAGGGGCTGGGAAGGTGGCTTAGTGGTAGTGCTCACCTGGCATGCATGAAACCCTGGGTTCAATTCCTCAGCACCACATACACAGAAAAAGCTGGAAGTCTCTGGCCCCTTGGCCCCACCAACTCCCCCATTGCAGGACCCTGACGTGCTGAATTCTCCCCTGCCAGTGGAAGCTGGGCCCATCGTGGAGGAGGAAGGGGCTTGTGCACTAGGGAACCGGCCTTTGGAGGTCCTGAGAGCCCCACTCCCTCAGGACCCAGGTTCAGAGAGCCTGAAAAGCCGGGGAGGAAACCTCGGCACCTGGCTGTCCGCCGGCCTCAAGCCTCTCAAATGTGGAGGCCTCCAACCTCAGAACCTTTGGAACCCCACCTATGGCTCCTGGGCCCCAAGGGCACCTGTGCAGGGTGACTCAGGCATTGACCTGAGCAACAGCTCCTCCCTGCACCCCTTCCCAGGCCTCTAGGTGGCTTGTTGTTCCTGTAGCCTCTGTCCCCTGCAGTCTGAGCTGCATGTTTGGGCCTGTCTCAGGGCTGGCCTGGCAGCAACAGACTTTCCATCCTGGAAACCAACCCAGGCCTCCTGGGAAGGGCCTGGCCCCTCCCGGCTTTTGGTATTGGGGGCCAATGGCCCTGGCCGTCACTAGGGAGTTCCGGACTGCCTTCTCCCCAAGAGCATCTTTCGTCTGTGCCATCCCCAACCCTGCAGCTGTTTCAAATAAAAAGGTCTTCTCGCATCCTCCAGTGATCTGTGTGGCCGTGGACTCTGGCACTGGGCAAGAGTGGACCAGAGGAGGGAGGGGATGAGACTGGAGTCGCAGAAGCTAGGTCTTTACGTTTTATTGGGAAGGGGAGTCCACTGTAGTGTAGGAAGTTAGACCAACAGGTCTATACCTATGAAATAATCTTTTTTCTGGCTGCTCTGGAGAGCTGCGTAGAGAGCAGCCTCAGAAGAGCTGGGCTGAGGAAAAGCCTGGGCTCCCTTCCCTTGCTGTAACTGGAGTGCCATTCAGCTCTGGGAACCTGAGGCTTCTTTGGAGGCCAAATGCCAGTACTGGCAGTGCAGCCCCTTAGTGACTGACACCTAGTCCTGCAGGGCTGGGTGAATGCCCGCCCAGCGGGATTCCAGTCTCCTGCCGGCATGCACAGAGGGGGCACGACCCTAGGTCCACACGTCTGTCCGGCAGCCAGCCCAAGTGGGGACAAGGACCCAGTCTCATCTCTCAGCCAGGCTGGCCAGGATGCCAATTAGATTGTCCAGCCCCAGCAAATAGCCATCTTCACGGTTGCCCTCTTCCCAGGGTCTTCGGTGGTCCAGGATCTGGCCATCAGGGAGGGGTGTGGTCTTGCCAAAGTCGATGAGCCACACACCAGCGCGATGGCAATGATCATGCACGAAGAGGAGGGAGCTCCCAATCACCTGCGAGCCCCCACAGAGTCAGGCCCTGCTTCCGCAGAAGCCCCCACAGACCAGACCCCGTCACCTGACCCACCGGCCTCTTACCTCATGTCTCCTGAAGAACTCGGAGACCTCCAGGGTGTCCCGGATCTGCTGCAGGCGGTTCAGATACCTCCTCTGGAGAGGACGGGGTGAGCAAATTAATGACGTGCTATGGGAACGTGTCCAACTTAGAGCAGCACCGCACACCCTCAGCTCGGCACACGTGCCTCGGAGAGAGACACTCCTGGCCCACCAGGGGAAGAAAGTGAAGCACAGCGAGATAACTGCCACCAGGGGATCCCGTGGGCCAGGACACCCGAACGGATGAGCAGGAGGTTCCCTGGGTGCCCCAGAACAGATGAGCAGGAGGTACCCTGGGCTTCAGACACTCCCCACACCTCAGGGCTCTGGCTCTCACCAATACTTCTGTGTCCCCTTGCATGAACTCCTCAAAGACGCGGGTCACCTGCTCCCGACTTCGGGTAGTCTTGAAGTCGGTGCTGCAAGAGCCGTCGGCTTTCTGAAGGAGGTGGGCAGGGAGTGTCAGGGGCCGGGTCCCGCCTGGAGGGAGAGGATCATGCAAGGGGTAGCCGGGCAGTGCCACCCTCCACCCCCTCCCCCATGTCAACGTCTAGGTACCAGGAGATGGTGGCTAGAGGGTGTGGCCTGGCAAATGGAGGGGGGGATGGGGAGGGGAGGGCCGGGCGGGCCCCTCCCGTCCTGGCCCACCTTGATGCCCTCGATGCGGAAGCCCAGCGTGGTGCTGGAGCTGATGCCTTCCCGCCACTGCATGTAGCGCGGCTTGGTGACAGCGCGCTGCGCGTGCTCCTCCTCGGTGGGCGCCTCGGGGTCCACCGCCAGCATCTTCTTGTACATGTCCTTGCGCAGCTTGGGCCGCTCGCGGGCTTTGGTCAGCTCCTCCTCCAGGTAAGTCCTGCAGGGGGGGTGGGGGACGGTCGTGGGGGGGCGCACAGAGAGGCCCCCCCAGTCCCTCCGCCCTCCCCGGAGCAGGGGGCGCACGCATCCCCACCTGACGCCCATCTTGCAGTCCAGCACACAGGGCCCGTCGAAGCCGTCCAGTAGGTCCTGCAGCTGCAGGTAGCTCTCGCCGTCGCGCTCCACCTCGCCGTGGAAGGCGGGCACGCAGCCCCGCAGCGCGTCCGCCATCAGCCGCGCCAGGCAGTAGCGCTCGGGCTCCGAGCTGCGCTTCAGGATGAGCCCACTGGTGCCCGCCGCCTTGAAGCTCCCTGCGGAGGGCTGGGCTGAGCGCTGGGGGGGGGGGAGAGGGGGAGGGGGGGAGGGGGTCCCGGGCCCGGCCAGCCGCCCCACCCCCACCCTGCGAGGCCTACCTGTGTGGCCCGCCAGCTGCACCCACGAGTAGCGCTTCTTGAACGGGCTGATGACCGGCAGGTTCACCATGGTGCGGATCTTCTGCCAGTGGCTTTTCTGAAAGCGACACGGGGGGGGGGGGGGGGGGGGGGGGGGTGGAGTCCCCTGCCTGTAAATCGGCGTCTCCCCAAGGCCTCAAGTCCCTTTTCTGGAAGGGAAGCAGAGACTGGAGGATTCCTCTGTTCATCCCTTAACTCATTCGCTCCTTCCCCTGGCTGTGAGGGGTTTGACCAGCCCTGAGGGGGAGCCGCGGCCAGAGAAGGCTACTTGGCTTCTCGAACAGACAGAAAATAAATAAATAAAAGCCCTGGACTCTGGTCAGAAAGCTCAGCTCCACCACTCAAAAAATGGTAGGGGCAGATGGCTGAATTGTTCCATGGTGGTTTTTCTTCCTCTTTATTAAGTGGTACTTAAGTTCGAACTCAGGGACCTGTGCCTGCTCACAGGGGCTCTAACCCCCCAGCCACGCCCCTCAGCCCGAGGGTCACCCTTGATGCCAACTCCCAGCTTTACCAAGGGGAAATTCTGAATAGATTTGGGGTGGAGCCAATGCCTCAGGAGATTGGGCGGGGGGGGGGGGGGGGGTGGCTGAGAAACAAACCTGTGTGTATGTATCAGTTTGTAAAATGTGGGAATCGATTCCCTGGCTGCAGGTGTTGCGTGGTAAATGAAGCCTGAGCGTGACAGGCATTCAGCTCCCCTGTCCCATTCCTTGGCATGAAGCAAAAGCCAGACAAACCTAGATCTCCGATTCACTCACTTGGGATGCTAGTTCCTTTCATTCAGAGACACTGATACTGAAGGAACCCTTCACATAAGACCAACACAGTGAGGCCAGCCTGGCGTCTCAACACCCCTCATCTTGCCTCCGTATTCCACGGACTCCTTGGAATTGGCCTTTGGTGCTGATCTGTGAGCTGCAAAGCAGAGGGCCTGTCATCTTCAAGCAAAACTGGCAGAGAATCAGATGCCCTGTAATCCTAGCTACTCAAGAGGCTGAGATGGGAGGCTCACAGTTTGAAGCCAGCCCATGCAGGAAAATCCGAGAGACTCAACTCCAATTAACCACCAAAAAAGCCAGAAGTGGAGCTATGGCTCAAGTGGTAGAGTGCTAACCTTGGGTACAAAAGCTCAGAGTGAGTGTCCATGCCGAGTTCAAGAGTTCAAGCCCTAGGACGGACACACACACACACACACACACACACACACACACACATGCATACTGGCAGGAAAATGTAGGAGTTATTTTGGAGAAAACCCCATGACTGGTCTAGGAAGGTGGCTCAGTGGTAGAGTGCTTGCCTTGCATGAATGAGGCCCTGGGTTCGATTCTCAGCACCACATAAGGAGAAAAAAAAAGGCTCGAAGTGATGCTGTGGCTCAAGTGGTAGAGCGCTAGCCTTGAGCTGAAGAGCTGAGGGACAGCGCCCAGGCCCAGAGTTCAGGCCCCACGACTGACAAAAAAAAAAAAAAAAAAAAGAAAACCCCATGACTTAGGAACTCTATCCAATCCTGAAAGTATCTCATATATTCTGGATCTTTTTTGCTTCCCTCCCCAAATTCATCCATGCTGTGTCTCCTCTGTGAAGCACACAGGTCTGTGTGTCCACTGCCCCCTTGCAGGTTTGCTTGCTTTTCAAAGGAGACTAGAAGCCAACATCCCTGCTGCAGGAGAATGTGGAGAGGGAGAACTGGGGAGCGGAGGGCTGCTGACCATAAAGCCTTGCACACAGGGAGGCGATGGGGGTTGGTGACAAAGCTTTGAACAGTTGGCTCCCATCCTGGCTTTCTCACTTTCTGGCTGAGTGAACACAACCAAGTACTGTCATCTGTGTGGGCCTGTTTCCTCTGGGAGGACATAGCGGCTGCCCTAACACGAGCCACCATTTACTGCTGCATGCCAGGCACCTTCGCATCTTCCTTCAGACAGCCCTGCTCTCCCATTGCTACTGAAGTTCCTACATGGCACACTGGGGTGTGATCACATGTCCAATCCCTGGGGATCTGGGGGTGTAGCCAGAAGCAGCCCACTAGCAGCATGACATCTCTTTCAAAACTCCCTTTTAAAATCTTTAAATACATACAAGGCTTGCATTCTGCTAACATAATAAAATCCAAGTTTTATTATAAAACTCCCCACCTCCAAACCCTCAAGTAAAATTCCAGGGAAGTGATTATGCACCACGTGAATTAGCCCCATCCCAGACCTCTTCTCTTGTGTTCACTCAACAATCATGCTATGACGCCCAGACCCAGCAAGTATGAGAGGTGGCATTACTAGGCTCATTTTATAGGGGGCTCAGAGGAATTAGCATCTCTTAACATTCTGCATCTACAGAGTCCAAGTTTCTGACTCTTACCACTTCAATTCCTTCCCTGTGGTCCAACTGCCCTAGCACCTTCCAGAGCCCATGTTACCCTTCTGTCTGGCTGGGAGGGCTTTGATTTCTGTGGAAACACTGGGATTTGCTGTGGTGCTCTCTCCATTGGCTCCACACCTTCCCTTTATCCAAAGGAAGGAGGTGGATAGGAACTTCAGGTAGGCTTATGAGTCTAAAGACAGAATTCGGGATAGCAGTGTAATGACAAAAGAAAAAAGCTGTAGCTCTGTAGCCACCCTAAGTGGAAGGGAGACCTGGGCACGGTGGCTCACACCTGTCATCCTAGCTACTCAGGAGGCTGAGATCTGAGGATCAAGGGTCAAAGCCAGGCTGAGCAGGAAAGCCTGTGAGACTCATTCCCAATTAAGCATAAAAAAAGCCAGAAGTGGAGTTGTGGCTCATATAGAAGAGAACTAACCTTGAGCAAAAAAGGCTCAGGGTCAGTGCCCAGGCTGAATTCAAGCCCGAGGATCAGCACACGCACGTGCGCGAGCATGCATGCATGCATGCACACACACAC